TTGCAGGGCCCTGAGACAACAATTGTGACATGGAGCTGTATAAATAAATAAATTAAAACTGAGCTGAGTAACTATTATCAGTTCTGTACACATGTATGTTCAGTCTACATAGATTACTAAACTACAGGATTGAACTATTTTCATGTTTATTTCTGTGAAGAAAATAGTTTCATTCTTTATTTAACAGTTTCTGCAGATGAACRGCAGAGTTCTCATAGAAATCCAAAAAAAAGATTTGAAGCACCATCTGGTGTCAGTTTTTATTCACTGCAGGACACGAAAACTGTGCCGTTACATATTTAACTGTGTTTAAAACACAAACAGTATGTTTTTATTGTATATGGGCAAAAAAAACTTCAATATTTTATGATGATATTACAGCATCTCTAATTCTACATTTTTAAAGAGGCCATAAAGGCTGTGATCACAGAAAGATTAAAATCTATTCGCACAAATAAACAACCGAACAATTTGAATTTTAGAAATTTTAGATGTTTACAAAGAAAAAGTTTCAAATCAATGCATTTGAAGTTTACAAAATTAAACAGTGTGACTAACTCATGTTGCAGTAAACACAACTAAATGACATAYGAACAGTAAGATGTTTCACTGTAAAAGAAATACTACTGGAGTGTTGAGGTCAGTTTTACAGCAGTTCAAGGGGCTGAAATGGTTTGTTAATAATTCTGTAGATCTTCTTAAGACCACTCTGCTGGTGTTTTATAGCCCACAGCTTTGACAGCGTATAAGGAAACATAAAACAGACCTAAAAGTAGATTTTTATGCAGCATCAATGACATGTATAGTACCTAAAGATAAAGTGATTTTTAAAATTATTTGAATGCATAAAKCCACTCTGGATGTTAAAAACTGATCAGTACTTCAGGTTAAGTTTATTCTTCAGATTTAACAAATAAAGGACTGGTTTTGCAGACAAGTCTCTTGTTACTGACTTTAAATAGCTGCAGATTCAGTCTATTCTGTACTAAAAGAAAACTGTGGATCAGAACTACTCTGTGACTAAATTAAAGCTTCAATTAATCCTTCAAAGAGGCAGGTTTAATTTCTGTTTAGTGTTGTTTGTGAAAAGGAGCACAAACAGCATGGGGTATTTTGAATATCTAAATAAATCATCATCATCATCATCATCATTTTATGATTGTCCCCTTACGGAAGTTTCCTTGCAGCAAGGTGGAAAGAAAATAGAAAGACAAACACAGAAACAATCACAAAACTATATTAAGAAAACAGTAAAATATCTATAAAATATCAGAACAGTATCAATGAAACAGGCTGAAGGACAAAATGAAGTTTAACTACATTTAGATTTGATCTGAATAAAGGCCCAGATAATGAAGAGTTTTACCATCGGCTGCCTGAACACCACTACAGAGGCCAGTACAAGTACAACACAGAAACACAACACAGCTCACAGAAGAACAGGGATGCTTATATTCTTGCCAAATGAGATAAAGTTTATTTATAATTATTTATTTATTTACACAATTAATTTAATCACAGTGTTCAGCATGGCTGTTTCATGCATCTTTCTTTGAGCAGCTCTTCTGATTTCATATCTAATTCAACCTGTAAAATTCTCATTTTCATATTATGATCTACTTTCAGATATTTAATTTTCTGCTCATGAGGTTTTAGGTCTAGTTTTTCATGCATAGACATCCTTTATGGTCTCTGCTGGAAGGAAGTATATATAT